AACGCCATTCTTTGTCCGAGTCCTTTGAAGACGCTATTTATTCTTAAGTGGAAGCATACATTCCCCCTCTTCGCAATCGCGGTAGCTCTGCAAGGTACAAAGCGTCTGTTGTTGGACGCCATGTTGATCGATCGTTGGAATTTCCCTTGAAGTTTACTCGACGGTATGTGTGTGGCAGGAAATTATAGTCACAGTCCACTAAATACGGGGATGGTCCGTTGAGTGATCCTTCAACTCTCCGTTGACGACTTCTGTCACCTGTGATAAACGCATCTGATTGGTAGCCAAGGTGATAATCGAGCAGCCTTTCTTCGATCCGAAAACGTTTTAAAACTGTAGAGCCAGCACGAAGTATCGAGATTAAATTTCCTTGGACCCTGTCGTAAATAATTTACACCACAACGTATTTTATTTGCCATTGCTATAAACAACGATTATCTCTTAATGGATTATATATTCGTCATTATTTGCAATAACTTGTTGACGTTGCAACTGAATATTTATATTTAATTCAAACAGCGTGATGAATTATATCGTAATGAATTATGCATTCGCTGTCATTCGCGATCATTACAATTTGCTTCAAGGAACAGAAATTATTCGTAACAATTTATTTACTGAAAAAGACCAATAAATTGTATAAATTACTTTGATATGAAGTATTATTATTATTATTAAGTAATATTAAGTATTAATATTGATTACTTTAACCTGGAAATTTGTTAAGCAAAGTAGACAATAAACTGTAACCAGGTAGAATGTAATTTACAAAATACTGAAAGACGAACAAAGAATATTGTGGAAACTATCTTTATTATTATAATGTGAAAGTTACGCGGAATAAGATTCTCGTATAACGGAAATAATCCCGCAGATTTTACGAAGTTCTTGAAACAAGAAAAGACAATCTCAAAATTTTGTCAGCTGTGTAAAAACTAAGGATCGAACCTCGGGTGAACGAGTTGCAAATATAATCAAACAAGGATGAAAACTTCAAATCGATTTAAATTCTGGGGAGACATCTGAGCCGGGAACTTCTCTACGAGTATCAAACAAAATCTTCAGTTTTCCCACAACGAACGGCTCGCGAGGAGCACAAGATTCTCTCTATCGATCTGACCAAACTTTCGCGAACTGAATTTATGCAACATCCTACGGTATTCTTCGTCTTCGCGGGATGCGAATAAATCTTGTCGAGCCCGCTGACAAACGAGTCCGTGAATCGACGACGCTCTTCGGTCGCGGAAACGCAGAAAAGTTTCCCCGAAGGATGATAATAAAACTCGAGGCAACGGCAAACAAGAAAATCCGAAGAAATCGAACCGGCGAATGGAACGAACTGTTGCTTCCACGTGGGAGTTGAAGAAGCAGCAGCCGAACTCTTGTTTATTAGGCACCAACGAAGATAAATCCCCGTCGTATAATTTCGGGGAAAAAACCCGGTCGAGCGGGGTATCTCGGGGCGTTTCCAATGGATCCGACGACAAGATTGATAGATCGCTCGTTCGACACAGCCTGTCTGATCTACGAGCTAATTTTCCTGCTGGCGCTGACACAATGACGTGTGGCTTCTTCAAAGTTCAGGAGACCGTGTCCTCCGCTGATCTGGGACAAGTTAATCCATTCGTTTCCTTAATTAATCACGTCTCGAGTTGCAAGTTTTTTGGCGAACTCTTTGTAAAATCGAGCCAATCGAGAGACGATCTTTTTCAATTACAGTAAATTCTCCCTAATTGACGCCTAAGATTGTGCACAAAATTGGGTAATTTGGAAAAAGGAGATAGAATTATTCGGGTCTTGGGGCTCGTTTTTATAGTTGTTGACAATCGGTAACTATAAGAATAATAATAATAATCGTAAAAAAATGTCGTGTAAAAATAATAATAAATAATCGTATCTCCTCTTTCCAAATTGTCCATTTCTGTGTACAAGCTGAGCAGCGATTAGGGAGAATTTACCGTAATTAGTGGAGTTTTAGAACCTTGTGTCATTTCTACTCTCCGAATAATGCATTTGCTAATTATTTATACACTTTATTATATATATAAGTAAGTGTATATAATATATTATATACTATAATATATATATATATAATTATAATTAGGAGGAGAATAATATTATTATAATATAGGATTATATTATATATATATTATATACACTTCGAAAATGTAACAGTCAGCATTTCTGGATTGGGGTTTACGTTATAAGGACTAGGAGAGACTGTATCGTCGAACGACCAGAATAGCTAAATTGATTAAAGCAGTCGCCCGGTAAGCGAAAGATCCGGGTTCGAATCCCCCAATCCCGATCTATAATACGATACGACTCATTTTCTCCTACGAAAACAAAACAATGAAGGTTTAACAAACTTTCGTCTTCATAGATAAAACTCAAAGAGCAAAGATCAAATTCGAATCATTCGATTCCAATCCTCTCAAGAAAATTCAACTCTCGTCTACAATAGCAAACAATGAGATACACGAAGTTCGACCCATTGGTAAGTTTTAATTGGTGAGTGAAAGTTCGTTAATTCGCGAAGCTTGGGTTCGCTTTCTGCGGGCTTGAAAAGCGATACCGAAGGAGGTTGAATCCTTTCCCACCCGGCATTCTTCTCCGAGTATCTGTTTTCCAGTCGCGAAAGAAAAGAATGAATCGACCCGTGCAATTACCGAAAATTGCGCTGCCCGCCTTGGCTCGTCTGTCGTCCAAGGAAACTCAATATCACGATCTCGTTTTCCGCGCGGACTTTGGACGCGAGCCAAAACGAGAAAGGAAGCAACAGGATATTCTGTTTCACGGCGTGGGAGAACGGCAGCGTGGTGGCGAACTATCTTCCTTGAGCACAATCTGCCTTTCCTAAAGCGAGCACGAAAAAGAAATAATGGAGGCGATTTCGCCTTGGAGAGCCGTGCCAGTGATTCATAGTAATTACTCCGCGTTTTCGAGCGAAGAAAGAAGATATATGGAATTTTCATTCTTTTGTGAGAATTGCCGTACCGGTAAGATCTGCTTGTGGAGTGCGGACTCTTTCTACTTACATTAGGTATCAAGATAACGATGCTTAAAATTCTTTTCTCACGAGTTCGGCACTCCGTGATACTTACTACTATTATAATTCGTGTTCTGCACAGTGTGTATGGCAACGATATCTTGCTTGGATTCGATTCAACTGATAACAAGTTCTCGATCAAGAGAAACACAACAAACTTTATTTGGCATCATTGTATAAAAGTTGTTGTATTTTTCAACAATATTCAATTCAGTGAGAAAAAGAATGTCCCTTTAAAGTCTGTTAAATTATTAAAATTATCATACAATCTATTCAATGTAATTCTATAAATCGTACCATTAAGAACATCTAGGTCACTTAACCGTTTCATTCAAGATTTACAAAAGTTAAAAGAATACAAGGAACTAATCTGCCAGTCTTATAAAAACGTTTATCGCTTTCAGCAATTTTTAACGAAATCAGAAAAATGAATGTTCCTTAAGGATCTGTTAGCAAGACCATCGATCTATATCGTAAGTAGAATATGCCAGTCAATGGTCAGACCCAATACAATAAATTCTCCCTAATTGACACAAAATTGTCAAGGTTATTTTTTAGGGATTGTGCACAGAAATGGACAATTTGGGAAGAGGAGATACGATTATTGGAGCCTCGCGGCTCTTTTTTATATTGGGTTGGGGAATCAGTTCGTAGCGTTTTTATTTGAAGGCGATTTTCTTTGTTGTTTTCGTTAAGCTCGTGAGGCACCCAGACTCCCAATTTTTCGGCAAATCCCATTGAATGAAGATGATTGAGAATCGTTTTATAATCGCAGTTCATTTTTTCGGCCAATTCACGACTTGTTCGGTGACCGTCCTCCTTCAAAAGTGCTTTGAGACGCTCTTCGCCGAATTCGGAAGGTCTTCCGCTGCGGGGCGTGTCGTCGACGTCAAAATCGCCATTTTTGAACTTCGCAAACAATTTCTGTGCTGTAGACTCGCCTATGACACCTTCTCCGTATACGTTGCAAATGTCCCGGGCTGCTTCGGCACCTTTTGGCCTCGATGAAAATCGAAGAAGAGAAGCTGTCGAAAATGTTGCTTTTTATCTCCTGGATATTCCATTTCTAAGCCTCAAAAGTAATAAAAAATTAAATTACTC